CCCCAAAACCCCAAAACCCCAAAACCCCAATGTCAAAGATTAAGCTAGATATTTATGAAATAAAGATTAAATCAGGTCAGAATAATTCTTAATTTTATCATCAATTATGATGCTTGTTGCTGCCAGTGGCATTATTGTTACTAACTTTGCTCTTATAGCTCTCCCAATTCCTTTGATTTTCCAGAAACTTAGTAATATCAGGTGAATTCTTGAACGGTCTATCATAATCCTTGAACTTTAGATTTAAGATTTTATTGTCAATCACAGCCTTAAGCGGCTCACTAAGATACTTTTTACTCTTCCTTGATATCACAATCACTTTGACACTGGCTGAGTCTGCAATCTATGATATTTATTATATATAAAGTGTTAAACTTACCACTGTTAGTTAGGATTTCATGAGCTGGTCATACATTTATTTAAGTTCTTATTCTTTTAAATGCTGCTGTTAGTTCGTAAGATGATTATATGGATTCCCACCCAGTAGGAAAGTATCTATATCTCTATTATTCATGTCATTATCTATGCTCTCTGTCGATCTATTTGCATTCACATTAAAACTTCTGATATTCCTTCTTTTGTGCTCTTCTTTTGACATTTACTCCTTTACTTGAGACTTGATAGACATATTCATAAGTTTCCTGTGAAAATCTTGCTTATGTTCATTATCTTTGAGCATTGGTTCCATTTCTAGTCTTGTAGAATTACTTTCGTTTTAATCATATTTTGATAGCTCATGTCTTCCATCCATCATATTTTTATAATTCAAAGAATCATGTTCTCCACCCATCTAGTTGTGATGCTAACTTGTTCCTTTATTCCTAAAATTTGAATATCCTGGAGCGCCACTACCACTTGATAAACCAACTGTACGTTTGTCAATGTTTAAATTAGCGTTACTAACTTATCTACTGTTTTGATGACTTTTTTATATTGAGGATGTGGCTAAGTCTTCTGAAGTTTGATCAGGAAATAGCTGAGTCTTGAAATCATCATACTCTCTTTCAATGAATTTCCTCACATAGTCTTTTTCAAGCAATGTTCTCGCACAGAAGCATTTGCCTTGGACTAGTTTATCATAGTGAATATGATGTCTGAAAGCGAAAAGCTGTTTGCTATCGATCTCTTTTTAAATAGAGGCTTTGGTAAAGCCACCTAGTATTCCTCCCTCATTTTTACTCAGACTACTTCCTTTAATAGAAGGTTAACTCAAAATATCTAGATCTTTTTGGCTCTATTTAAGGGGTTTTAGATCAAGCCTATCGTTTTAAAAGGAAAACTTTTCATTAAGTTTTTGTTGATTAAAGAATCCATCTTCACTCTTAACAATGGGCAGGCTATCGAGTTTGTTCTTTTTACCGCCGTAGTATTAATCAGATGGATTATAGTTTTAAAATCCAAAGTGCATACTAAGCTTGCCAGCTTATACCAAAGCATTCATTTCATCTCTTGTCTTATAAATAATAGTCTCATAGGCTACTTTACACTCTCCGCTCACTATGATATAGCAAAACTCAGGCTCTTGCTATTACCTAACAATTACATCTCCATAAGAGTATTCCTTAATCTCAATATTGCTGCATAATATGACAAGAGCATAAGGCGATATGCTCTCAAAGAATTCTGAATTTTTTAGTGTGATGATCTTTTCATAGAGTGACTCTTTCATTTCTTAGAATAGTACATTTGAAAACTCCTTTCTATCAAATACTAGCACATCACATTCTTTGTCACTTTTAACAAAGGTCTAGCACTAGTCTTCTTTATGCTTCAATGTGCTAGCTAAATTTACATCACCCAATGATTCTCCTGGAAACAAAGTACAAAGAGAAAAGGTAATATTCTACTCTAAGTCTTTAACCATTAAGCTTGCTGTCCCATTTATAATAACTATAATCATTGAATCTATTTCCTCCTTTCTTACAATTGTTCTATTAGGTGGGACTATTTGATATCTGCAGATTCTATATAGCTTATGTCTTACCTTTTCATCAAAAGTCTTAAAGAATTTGAGTCTTTTTACTATCTTATCAATAAGGTCATAATCAACATCCTCATATTCTAATTCAGGCTTGTTATTCTTTCTTTGCCTCTCCAAGATCTCTCTTTTACTAATCTGCTCTCTGAATATTTAAAGCATAGCAAATGTAAGTTCTTTCTTGACTATCTGTTCCTCATCCTTTCTGAGAGATATTGCACATTTCTTAAGGTATGTTTGCAGAATATCTATAGTGTTAAGTTTTTAAAGCATTGCTTCATAGAATTCACTCTCTTCAATTTCTTTCTCACTTATCTTCTGCAGAATCTTTTACTCAAGAAGCTTTTAGAAGTTTTCAAACTCTGAGTGCTTGATATCATTTTCTTCTCTGATATCAATGAATTTATCACCTTCTTGCTTGATCTCCTCGTTATCATCAATATCACTTATTTGCTGTTACGGCTAATCCTTGTCCTGTTTTTTATGAGGCTTTTAAGCATATTTATGCAAATGCTACAAATCACTACTCCTGTTAGTCACAAACATAGACATTTGGTTGATGAAATGATTGAGATCATGAGTATCTTAAATTTCCTTAAAAAGACTAGCCTTTTGAGTATCAGGTACTATAACCTACTACAAGCCATATGTTTCAAATAAATAATCTAGGAATTCTGCAGTTTTGGCATCGAACTATTAAAAGTCTGCATCTCTTTTTTGCTTGATTGATTCTCTGTCAGACATAGGCATTAAAACATGACCTGTTATTCCATTTTAAAGTATTTTCCGTGTTTCTAATTATGCTGGAGTAATGCAAAGAATCCTCATAAGCTTTTGATCATCAGTCTCATTGCTTTTCTTAACTTGCTCATAAACCTTCAACCTATCTTCAATGTTCTTTATACTCTCCTCTAATTCAGATCTAAATGACTACTTTCTCACTGGATGAGATTATCTTTTATTGCTAAATCTACTCAAAGATTAGTTCCCAGAAGATGTTAGATGCTCTTTAGAATTTTGCTTTGATAATTTTTGACTGTTTCTCACTTTGGCATCTTGGTAGTTTTTCATAACTGACTTTTATTTGTAAAAGTACAAACTATTATTTGTGTCAAGCAGTACATTTATAGCTCTTTAGTATTATCTGTACTTTATGACTTATATTTGAAACTTATCCTTTTTTGCTGAGCTTTCATTCCAAGGCCTTGAATCTCTTGCACTATTCTTGAGACTGGGAGAGCTGCTCTTAAGTTTTTTCTATTGCTTCAGATTAGAAATGAATTCGTAGAGATTGTCTTCACCTCCAATGTCCTTCTTCAAACTTTATATTTCTAAAATTAGCACTTCATACTCTCTTTGGACTGGATCAAACTATGGACCTAAATCTTCAACTTTGTCATTGATCTTCTTAAGCCTAGTGAAAAAATATTCCTTGCTTTCCGTCATCTCGTTTTCAAGTCGAGAGAGAGCTTCTTTAAATTCCAAACTTAAATCACTATCTCTCTGTTTCATAGTTTTCTTTTTCTGCTCGATGCTGTTATTCGCTAACTTCAAACTTTTTTACTTACTAAATCTTCTATCTGCTGGCTGGGGAGTTTCCTGCTAAGCCTTGTATGATTAATCTCTCTATTCCTATATTTTTTACTTCACTTTTTAATCTTTGTCAGAGTAAACTTAAAATCCGTTGAAGTAGCTTTGCTTTGATTCTATTTTTCTTTATAGCTTATCATCATTGATACTGTCTATGATTCTATCCTCGTTTTTATAGATGTTTTCATAATTTTTGCTTCTAACTGATGAATTTGCACCACCTCCACTATTCTTGTCAGAATACTTTCCCTGGATTTCTAAATACTTTTATTTCAACTACTACTCCTTGTTTTTCAAAATATTCTCAGATTTATTTGCAATATACTATGCTTAGCCTTGCTTTATCTTAATATCATATTCAGTATCAGCTGAAGATTTTCTTCTTCCAAGCTATATTTTATTAATTTCTTTTTTTTAATCAAGATACCCTTTTGGCGTAAGAGTTAATATATTTTCTTTGTATGATGGAAGTTTGTTCTATGACCATTATCTTTTGTGAGGAAAGTGGTTGTTTTAAGTAACATCAAAACTTTTTGTCATCTCAAACATATTGACTTCATTCTTAATCGATTGGCTCTCATCGTCTATTTTTTCTTCTTGCTATATTTACATCTTTTACTATTAACCAGTAGATTACTATGGGTTTTCTATTGAAGATTTGTGCAATTAGCTTCTGCGCATTTTCATCAATTATTGATGCTGCTCATATCTTTCATAATCTACTTGTTTTAGCTTTTCTCTGGCAAAAAGATATAATTTCTTAAGATTTTTCTCATCAAAATCAAGGAAATTCTCAGATTTTTAGATAAGATCAAACGACTCTAGAACCTTCTCAAACATGTCAAGATTCAAGTAAGCAATAAACAGATTCATAAGAACTGCATTTTTATATGACAGCAAGTCAAATAGATTCTCGTAGATTTCCATTGCTTCCTTGTATTCCTTGCCCATTAGACATGCAAGACCTTTGTTAAATAATAGTGTTACATCACCTGGAAACTCTCTTAAGGATTTATTGATGAATAATTTGGCTTGGGGAATTTTTTATGTTTAAAGAAGTAACACAGATTTTTATATATGCCCATGCTTCTTATTGGTGTTTGGCTTAATGGATTTAGTTTTTACTAATGCTTTCTCAGGAGCTTGAATTGTATCAGCTGTAAATACCTTTGGATTTATTTTGTTGAATTTCATATAGTCTTCAAGATTTTGCTTTCCTAGTTCACTGTCTTTAAACTTTGGTGCTTAATTATATTGATTATCTCCAGTTGCTGTATTACCATTACCAGTTCCCTCTACATTCATGATTCTCTTCAATCTATTCTAGTTATATATGAATTATTCTCTCTCCGACATATAGTCAGTGATCACTTTTTATTCATGCAATTTTCTCTATTTCATGCCATTGATGTTATCTTCATCTACATAATAATAAGTTGCCTTATTAAACGTTTTAGTTTTAAGATTTTCCTCTCCTGGATTAGCGACTAACCCGCCTCTGACTTAAGAGAAATATTTGGTGATTTTTTTCTTCTCTGTAATTATTCTAAACTATCTTTACTGTTAGTTTGGTTGTTCAGTATCCTCATGAATTCTCATTATAGAATTGATAACATTTTCATTTACTTTTTTCTCCAGTTATTAAGATTGATTAATTAGAACTTTGATTTTCTAAGCTACTTAAGCTGGGTCTTCAGTATTAAGATTAAAAATCTAGGCAGGTCTGTTTGGATCCTATTCCTTTTTACTCTATATGTATTATTTATCTTGGACTTTTGTCTCGTGGTTAGGAAGATTCTATTATTAAAGTTAGCCATTTGATAAAGATCTAACATGTCCCATATTAGATTAGTTATAGTCAATGAGATCTATGTTCTCTTCTTAATATGAAGCCAAGTACTACTGAGTATCAGGTCTACTGTAGTATCTGTAATCAGACTAAGTGTTGATTTAATCTTTCCCAAACATTATACTTTAAACATTATCGTCTTAAATGTTAAATTGCTAAGCAACATGGAGCAGTTAGTTTTTAGTCTCGTCTGGCAGGAGGTTAATTGTTTACTAGAATCTCTATTAAAGAGAATCTAGTTTCTTTTTCTTTTAAATAGTGTTAAGCATCGCTGAGTAATTATTATTAGTCAGTAGTCTCTATTTCATATATCTCTCATCAGCTTCTTGAGAAATAAAATTCTTTTAAAACCTTTAATTTGGTATCTCATTTGAAGGTGAGTTCTCAAATAGCAGAGTCTTAGCAAATGATTTGACATCTGCTGGCTGACCAATAGAAAATTTTACAACTTTTTGTGATTGAGTGGTTTATATATATGGATACATCTACTTTAAGTCCAATTAAGAAGTAGATGCCATTCCTTTTTTGGAAGTTTAAGTATTAAATAATTTATTGTTCTGCTGTCCTTAGTTCATATTCATAAAATTTATTTGATCTTGATAATCGTTTTGTATTTTCTTGCCTGTACTGCTATTTTAATTAAGCAAGGAAGTTTTGTTTGGGCTGATGTTATGATAGCGTTTAATGTCTATGTTCTCATACAAATCATGATTGTCAAAATCTTACACTGCTTTTATAGTCCTTTATAGCAAATATTCCTCTCTTTCCTGGTATTTTTTACTTCGCAAATTTCCTACTTTCAAAATATTCTTTCCAGGTCTCGCATCTTTATAAGTGACTACACAATTTTTGTTATTTTTTTAATATATTGTTACTTTGATAATGAAGATGATTTTTTATTGGTTTGCTATACTCGATGTTTTCAATCTGAGATGTTGTATGCCGAATACTAGTACCTACATTTGTTTCATAGTCATGAAATGCTTGAGTTTAAGGACTCATTACTCTATATTCCTGTTTTTGGTTTTTAATCGATGCTTTCTAAGTATTTGGGAAAATTTTGCTGTATTATTGTGGGCTGATTTGATTGCCTTAGGTCGATGTTGTAATACTAGGTTTATTTTTTTCTTTAGATTAAGCAGTGTTCAGTCGATTTTTGAAAAATGGGGGAGCTACTGGAGGCTTGGTTTAATTTTTTTCTTCCATTTCAATTTATTATTATGAAATCAGATATATTAAACTTAACTTTTAGGATTAAATCTTTTTAATTAATAAAGATAGCACACTTAAGAAGATTACTTAAAAAAGGGTATTTTTAATTAATTTTTCTATGTCATATAGTTAAGCAAAGATTAATTAGTTAAAGTAAATTTTAGTAAAGGTTATTATATACAGATGAAAAGGTAAAGAAAATACATTTGGTAATAAATAGATACAAACAAGGGTATAATTAAAAGCTTTCTAAATTTTATTATTCCTATGATTTAATTATATATTGTTAAGTTTCATTTATTTTAATTTGATTTTACTAATATTATTTTGGTATCTAGTTTACTTTAAATCCACATTTAATTTGCTGGATATGCATTTCCCAGTCCAGCTATAAAAATGTCTCATTCCTCATTATTCTATATTATTTCTGAGTCTTCGTCATCTCTTAGAGTTCATCTATTTGATTGACTTCCATTATTACTAAGATTGTAGGAGCTACTCTCACTTCTCATTCCCATTTACCCATATTGGCCTGATATAGTGGCAGATTCCTTGGATATTTCTAAATTATATCTTATCTTAAATTTATCTAGCCATCCTTTACTAGCAATGAAGTCTTTACATGATCTAAGCTAAATTGCCCGATCCTTTATCATCTTGGCTGTTACTGGAATTTGCTAGTCCTTCATTTACAAATACCATTCATGCAATTTTTTCTCCATTTAGGGATCTTTAGTCTTTCTGCCTCCTCCCTTTTTCCTCTGCCAGCCTACTTTTATCCAACGCTTTAGAGATTTCAAGGGTACACCAAAAGTATGTGCACTTTACTTAGCTCCTTTGTCAATCGCCATTTACACTGCTTTTTGCTTGATATCAGGATTAAGCATCTTATATTTACTTCTTTTTCTATTAGAGCATACACTCTTGGAGTCCTCTGCTCTCATATCTATAGTCTTTTTATGCTTCATTATTGCACTATTGATATAATTAGAACTGGAAGTTTAATTGTGATTTGAATGATTGATACCTAAATGAGACTTCTCTTGCTTAATTTCAACTTAATTTGGATTTAATTATGGAAGATGCATCATATTCATTCTTGGCTATATCCTAGGATTTCCAAATATGTTTGTTTAAGGTGGCCTGTAGTTTAAGCTCATTAAATAATCCTAGTCTTTTTTTATTTATTTTTATAATATTTACAATCCCAGCGGATCTTATTACTCTGATATTTGATGGTAATTATTAGAATGACTCTTCCCTAAACATTGCTTTTTAAACTAAGATTGAGCATACTTGTAATCTTATTCTGAGAGTGCATAGATATTATTTACTTATCTTGCATTTTATTGATTATTCTAATTATTTGAGCTGTTACTATCTTTAATGGCTATCTAGTTTTAGAATGAATTCCCATTACTCACCTGCTTCTAATTTTGAAGATCCATTACTTATTTAGGCTTCTATATTAATCCTTATTAGAAGCTAAACTCTCTTGCTTGATCATTTAGGTCGGCGATTTATTTATCGTTCGATTATTTCATACCATTGTGGCTACAACCACTGCTATTTTAGAACTCTGATTTAATCAGGGCTGGGTTTATTTGAGAAGTCAATTTTCTTGAATTACCTTGTTTCTGATTTTGCCTATCCTATTCAAAATCATGCCTTTCAAAACCCATGAATCTCTTTTGAATTGAGTTCACTTTTATGACATTCTCAGTTACACTCTATTCTGCATCAATAATAATTTAAGTATGGACTTTGCCAAACTAAGCTTTGTCAACAAGACCACTACTAGCTATCTTTTATATCTGCTCTTGATTATTTGATAGTTTTTCAAGCTATTGCAATTCTTTCTGCAATCCATCTATTTTAGACTTTAGATTATCAATTCGATCATCAAGATAGTAATTAAACTCATCAAGTTGCTAAGAATACTCATTTAGAACTTTATTTAAACTTCCATCTGCTTTTTATGGATTTTTAGAATCTTCTTGTGCAACTTACTTTTGGGGAACCTAACAACTCTACTATGGAAAGCCTCGAAGAATGTTATTTGAATTTTAATTGCTTATAATGTTTAGGGGGTCCATACGAGTATCCAAAATGTCACTTTAAGATCCTATTAGATGAGTGTCAATAAATTGGTTCTAATGATAGCCATTTGGCTCTCAATTGACACAATCCCCGAATTATTAATTCGTGACTATAGTATCTTGATTATAATTGAAAATAGAGCCTATATCCTCAGTTTAATTTTGATTGAAGTACAGATACTATTATTATTATTAAGGCTGCTATTACTAAACAAGATTTTATCTTTAGGGTATAACTGACTGATAAAGATGATCTTGCTGAATTTAAAAGTCAGGGATGTAGTCAAAATTAAGTTTCAAATCATTTGAGTCACGAATAGGGTCAGGTGAAGTACAGCCTAGGTTTATATTGTTATTATAGCTTTGCTAGGATAATAAGGTGTAATTGGTAAATAGCTAAGGTTGTTACTAATGCTGATTACCGAAGCTTGAGGACTAAGACAGCTATTATTAGATAAGTTAGTTTTATGGCTGATGCTAGTAGTACTGATGATGGTGAGGAAGATTATAATTTTTTTCTTTTAACAAATCCTCACAATTAAAGTGAGAAGTTTCGATTAATTAGGAGGTGTGCATGCTACTTTTAATTGGCTTTTGGTTTTATATAATTAGTGATCTTTTAATAATTGGTTGTTAGTTATTATTTTTAGTATGCTGCGATTGGTTATTATTAATCTGAGGTGTGTATTTGTGAGTGTATTTTAAATATTAAATTTTAAATATCAATATTAATGTTAAGGCAGTAGATGCGAGGAGGAATAAACACTCAAAAGAGTGATAGGGAGTGTGTGGTAGAACGCGCTTGAGTTAAATATTTAGATGGGTGACTTAATTGAATGTTTAACAAATTAAATAACAAGTTAGGGTGTCAAGATATAAACTATATATTTTAGAAATTCAATCTGATAGAAAGGCAATATGCGGTCTTGATATATTGGTGACTATTTCACAATTATTTACTCAGACTCAGTGATTGAAGACTATGTTCAGGGTTTGGGCACATTTCCTGCTGCAAACTGGCAAGTACATTCCGTTTAGGATAAATTTTCTATTTCTGCAAGGTGGATTTGTACACTTTGAAGGGTCATTAGGTGCTAAGTATATGTCTAGCTTAGAGTCTTGAACGATCTAATCATTGAAGTGAGAGTTCTAATGATATTATTAATAGACTGTATTTCCATTAACATTTAGAGTATTTTATCTATTAAATGATTAATTAAAGGACACTGGTGTCGACATGTTAGTATAGTTTGTGAATGCATTAGTTTTAGGTGTTTCAAATATACTATTATTGCTCTTTTCTTTATGCTAAGATCTCATAAATTTCTCGAATGCACTTTCTCCAAATGCCCCAAGACTATTTTATATTTGACTTTGAGAAGAATTATGAATTTGATCTGAATCATAGTTAAGTTACTTTACCATAGAATCATTCTACTTAGTATATTCATAAGCGTTTTGATTGTAAAAATGAGGCACTTGAACTGTGTTAACTCTGTTGATTTAGGGAGTTTTATAATTATCTGATTCAAAGCCAGACTCATCAGAAGAAAAGACTGATTTATTCTTGAAATTATTTATTGCTGTTCGACTTTGGTTAGGTGATTTAGATCTTCTATTGCCCTAGATAGGTGAGTATCCTTAGCTATTAAAGTTTTGAAGTTTGATAGGAGATTTGCTTCTTGATTTACCTTATACTCTGCTAGCTTAACGATAAAGATCATCGGAGTTTCTTACATAAGCCCCTTTATTCTGATCAAGATCATCACATTACTTTGAGCAATAATTAGTTTTGACCCAGCCATCCATTAATACTAATCTTGGCCTGGTACATCCTTCTCTTGCACAGAGCTGATATGGTTATTAATTATTAGCTGATCTTTAAACAGGAGAAAGATTACGAGGATCGAAATCTTAAAGAGTTTTGCTTCTGATAGGCGATTTTGATTTTCTTATATCAGGTTAAGGTGAGTTTTGTATTGCTTCTAGTTTCATTGCTTCAAATATCTAAGCAACTTGTCTAATATCTTGAGATCCATTATGATTAAGAGTGCTGATTTATGGCCTTGTTGGAGTCCCGTAAGTAGGGCCAGAATAATTTACTTTTTAAGGCGACCTGTAGGAATAGTAGGAGGAATTAGGGTTTCCAATAGTAACTCCGTTATACCCATATTACTGACCTGATTGCATTATTTAGTGAGGCAGCTATAATTGCAAATTCTACTGCATTTTCTCCAGTACTTTGACAACCTCGATATTTGTTTCAAAGTGAGCAGCTGGAACATGCTAGTACTTAATGTAGCAGTTTGGACAGTCAATCTGAATGCTTGGCACTGTTTGATTCTCCTACAATGTTAAGCAGAACAAGCAGAAAGTATGCCCACAAGGCAAGAGTTTAGGTAAGTTCAATTCTAAGTTGAAGGATTTCATGCAAAGTCCACACTAAGAAGATACCTAGGTTGGAAAATAACTCTAACTATTCATATAAGGATTCGGTAAGGGTAATTATTGAGGGTACTTCTGAGTTTGTGCTCTTGCAAATGCCTAAGTAGTTTAATTAAAGTTTGGTCCAATTATCATTATTTTATCTATATTTATTTTATGTTTATTAAGAAATTACAATTCTATTCTACGTTTAGGGGTTTTGGGGTTTTGGGGTTTTGGGG